TCGGATCATTCGTGTTGAACCTAGGCACTCTGCGATGGAATCAGCAAGCACTGGAGCCAGAGCCAGAGTCCGAGCCACCATGTACCCTGTCGAGGGATGAACTATACCGGAATTCCCACCTATTGCCATCACGTTTTGTGGTATTAGAGGAAGAGGTCCACCCATGGGAATCAGACACTTCTCTTTCTCAATTACACTCTTCACCCTGATTCCCAAATGCCTTAACCTTGCCACCATCCTCTCCTTGATCTCCCTATACGATAAAACTGGCCTGCTAACCAGGGAAGTCTCTTCTAGGAACACCAGGTTCGAATCAAATGGCATTGCATACAGAAAAGTGGGAGTTTTTGAATTACTATTGCGCAAATATGGCTCATTCCCCAGATGGGTATCTCTCCAATCCATAAGAACCATCTTGTCCAAATCAAAGGGGTGATTCTGCACTTCAGCCAAAATTCCATGGGCAATCTGATATCCATGGTTTCTAGGCTTATCATATTCGATAAAACTGCTTGTGAATCCACTAGCATCCACAATCAAACTTGCCTTCAGTTCATTTCCATCATCACAAATGATTGAAGATACAAACTCTTGGTGATCAACTTTCCAGACCTTGGCCTTATGGAATTTGACACCATTTGAAACGCAACCCTCCAAGAGCTTAATCTTTAGCTCCTTCCTACCGACTCTGCCATAGGCACGGTCCAAATACTTGGTCTTATGGTCATTGATATGAACAGAAGCCATAGGCCATGTTCTGTCAAAACAATCCTCAAGCCCCAAGCCCTCAAACTCATCTACCCAGGCTCCATAATTGTTAGGCCACATGGAAAGCGGCGAAGGGTCAACGCAACATACCCGAATTCCATAACGAGAAACTTGTTCGGCAAGACGGAGACCAGCCGGGCCGGCACCGATTATGATCAGATCTAAGCGAAACCGATCGGAGGGGTTTAGCCAGGGGACATCAAGATTTAAAGACTCTGGTTTTGATGTGGGTTTTAGATCAAGAAAGCTACCAAATTTGTTGCTTTGGATTTTGTGATGAAGTGTTCTTGGAGAGGATTGAGTTTTTGGAAGGAATAAAAGAGAGGAAAGTGGTGAATAAGACCTCTGAGTGGTGGACAGCATAAGAGGTGGAGTAGGCCTTAGGAGAGTACCCATGACAGAAAGGAACTGAGTTGGGAATGGCTAGTGTTTTCTGGTAGATATCTGTGTGTATATATATATATTTAGAGAGAGAGAGAGAGAGAGAGAGAGAGAGGGGTTATGTGTAAGTATGAAGGAGGGAGGGGGAGGTGGGAGAAATGGACAAAAGGAATCAGAAAGCAGTTCGAAGAAAACGATGCTCTTTCGGTTTTGGCGCAAATTTAAAACGTAAAACAGCAAATGGAAAAGCGTACTATATTGCACACAGTACATGCCAAAATCTACAACAACTTTGGTGGGCCCTACCATAAGTTAGACAAGAGTAATGCCCGTTAGTGAGTTGAGCGTCTCAGTGCTCTGGCCGTCCAAGTAAGAAGACGAGGAGTTGACTCAGTTCACTTGAATGCGGATTGGGGTCCCACTATGTCCTATACGGGAAATTTTTTATGTCCTACATTTGTGCCCTAAAAATTATATTATCTCAGCTCTTAAATATCTCTTGTTTAAAATTTTTGCATAAAGATTAAATAAACTATTAAATAACTCTAATATGAGTAAAAAATAATTACACAAAATTAAAATATTTTTATTCAATATGTATTGGGAAGGAAAAAATATAAAAGGTACTTAGCCTTTATTAAATCTAATGCATTGAAAAATTAAGGATAAATTTAGAAGAAAAAATATTAATTATGTTTTAGTTTTATTAAACGACAGATATTTAAAAACGAAAAAAATATTAAATTAATTCTAGCGATGAGACTCACTTATCTAATAATTATAAGTAATTTGATGCAATTTTTGGTACACAAATTATAATTTTATTCGATGATAAATCCACACAAGAATCATCATTTATTAGTGTAATAGTCACTTATATATAAATAAATGATTTATCATTAAATAAAATATATATATATATATATATATATATATATATATATATATATATATAATAGAAAAGATCTTAATTCATATTACTTTTTCTTTTTTGGTATCAGTCTTTCTCAATTCACATTGCCTCATAGGCCACTTAGCAGACCAAGGAACATACAAGGTTGAGTGGGGCGCACTTAACTCCTTGCTTTTTTGGTCTGGATTTGGTAACATACCAAACCCCTTGCGCGCTGCTTGATAAGTGGGTATGGGGGTTGACAATAAGAATTTAGAAAAAATAGTATAAAGGATTTTCAAATTTCATATTTGTATGAAAATTTTAATTTTGAGTTTTCAAACTCAGTCTGTAACTAGCCAAAGATTAAATCCACGATTATAGGTTTCGTCAAACCTAGGGAGGGGTAAGTTTGAAAAGATGGGTAAATAATAAAAGATTCAAAAGACAATTGTACCCCTAAATATATATATAAATTGAATTGATTAAGGGTAAAATAATTATTTATAGGATAAATAATTGTTAATAATAATGATATATTCGTGGATTCTACATGTGGATGTGTTACATACCAAATATGAGTATGAACCAAATTGAATGTTGAATTTCATTTTTGTAAAGAGGAGTTTGAATTTGGAAGGGTTTAGAGAAACTAATTTAAACCCCTCTCCAAAATTCATCCAAACAAGCTCCTAGGTGCTATTATCATGGGGAATTGGAGGGTTTGGTAAGATGAGTTTGAAAAAAAAAAGTCTAAAGGACCCCAAAATTTCATATTTGAATTGAAAATTGAGAAATTTGGAGGACGGTCCCCTTATATGGGCTTATTTGAACTTAAGTCTGTCAAGAAAACTTATTTACTATGAAATCTTTTTTTTGTTAATTTTACCAAATTATTCCTTTTCTGTAGAAGTGAAGTAAAATTGAAAATTAAAAACTCCTAAATTTTAAAAGTTTGACTAAAATTAAAAATTTTCTCTCTCATATATCTATACAATAAAATAGGAGTGTGTTCAGTCATATTTGCCCCCTCAAAATCATCATCAATCACTTACCTTACTCATCATCCATTTGTCAGACTCAAATGTCAAATCACATCATTCATTTATATTACATATTTAATCATTTATATATCTCCTCACTAAAAATATCACACTATTCATTTCTATCATATATTTAATCATTTAATATTTAATTAATTTGTAGTTAATATATTTTAAAAAAATTAATATAGTAAGATCGATTTTTTAGACGTTCGAATTTTATATTTGTCGTGCTTTCAGGCACGAGTTATAACTAGTATAGTTAACACAAAAAAATAGCAATATGAAACATAGTTAACATAAAAAATAGTACCATTTAAACACAAAAAAATAGTTACATTTAAACATAAAAAAATCATAAAATTCAATATTAATATTTTAAAAAAAATAACAATAGTAACATGTTAAACAAAAATAATAACATGCTTCACAAAAATAGTAACATACTCAACCAAAAAAAAATAGTAATATGAAACATTGAACAAGCTATAATTCTTTAGTATCCAAAAAATAATACTGAAAAAGTAATAAAATGCTCAATAAAAAATAGTAATATGGTCAATTAGAAAAAATAGTAACATGGTCAACAAAAAATATAATAACATAAAACCTTGAAAAAATTTAAGGATTATTTATCAAAAACATAAAAAAAAAATAATATAGGAATCAAACTAATAGTACATTGAGTAAGTTTTTCAAACGACATAAAAGTTCATGATGATCAGAACGCAATAGAAGATATGGTAGTTGTTGTTGTTGTTGATATTTTAAACTTTACTGATTTTGATTCTTTGGAAGAAGAAATGATATTTAAGGAGAAAGATTTGTTGCACTAGAGTGATGATCTTTTAACGAGAGACAAAATATAAATTCGAATTTCAATTTAGGAATGAATTAAGAGATAATAATTTCTAATTTAAGAAATTAATTTAAAGCTACTTTCAAAGTCTTTTAAGGTTTCTATAATTGAATATAATAACACTGTTAATGCTATTTTTGAGATTTAAAAAAATAGTAGACTTAAGTACTTATTAGTAAAATAAAAAACGAATTTATTACCAAATAATTTTTTTGACAGACTCAAGTCATTATAAGTTCATTCAGGATAACTCAACTCTAATTTTCACTTAAAAATTCAATCCTAGGTTCTCAAACTCGACCCAAATATTAAATCTATAATCATAGGTTTCATCAAACCTGGGAGGTGGGTGGGTTTCGGAAGATGAGTTAAGGGATTAAGGATACAAAAGATAATTATACCCCTTAACATGAATATGAATTGAATTGATCAAGGGTACAATAATTATTTACAGGACAATTAGTTACTAATAATTATGATATATCCATGAGTTTTACATGTATATATATTGTATACTAAATATGAATATGAACCGAATTTAATGTTAAATCCCATATTTGCAAAATAGAGTTTGAATTTGAAAGGATTTGAGAAAGTTATCTAAACCCTCCCCAAAAATCTATCCAGCCCCTAAGATTTTTGGTATTCACAGGTAACAACTTGGCTTCTATGGTTTGTATAAGTACTGTCACCCCCCTTGACTTTACTCAATTGATGACAGATTACTCATTTCAGTTTTTAAGTAAATTAGAAATCACAAATACCCTCTAGCTGCTATTAGTAGGAGGAAAAAAAAAAAGGAAACACAATCGAGGGCAATAGCTTGAGTGAGTTGGGAGAGGGTGAAGATCAGAGAACGAGTGAGAGACGTCGTGCATATCAATGCCATCGTAGACTTGGTTGATAGAAGATCCAACAGAAGAGAAAAAAAATAGGGGGAAAGGAAGAGAAGACGAGGAAAGAAAAAGAAAAGGAAGGGAGGGGGGGGGGGGGGGGAGGGGGGGAAGGGGTATGAAGGGCCAATAGAACAAGTGAATAATATAGCTCCTCTTGCCTCCAATTTTCTTTTCTTTTCACATCAAATCATTTCATCCAAACAGTGTAAGCTTGAATGCCAAATACAATCTACATAAAATCCCAGCATTTACAAAAATACAAGAAGAAGATAAATACTCATACTTATCACACTGTCCACAATAAATACTTGCACTATAACCACAACAACAATAATCAACTAGGTTATTTTTGGAACCTTCAACGAAGGAATAAATATTTTTCTGCAGACACCTCAAAAATCTGGAAATTCTGAACCACAAAGCAGTAAAGATATAAAGCAAGATAAACCATTGGTGTCTCATTTGTCACATTGGCAGAAATCTCATGATCGGCAGGAAGGTAATGTGATGCCTCCACAAGCAGTTGCTATTATTATGTACAGCAACAGAACAATCAAGCACGTCAACATGGCCCTGTCATGAGTAAAACTATCAACTATCTGCGCGTGAAATTAGAAAAGCCTCCAGGCAGCAGAAAGCTAAATTCAAACATTGAATAAAGGAGTGGTTCCATTGCTACTGACAGTTTTGTGGTCAGATTATTGCTTGTGACTTTTAATCATACAAACAAACAAATTCTTCATTTTACAAAAGTTATGATAGAATTTATAACAATTGTGGCAGTCACAAGTTGATAGTCCTTATTTACAAGGTAGAGCAGACCCAAAGAGCAATCAGCAAATGGCAGCAGACAGAACACTGACGTGATAGGTGATTGCACTTAAAAGGTATGATTGAATCAGTTCATCACTATAAATGACCTAAATCCTCCAGAGTTACAACCAAGATCCCCATATTCAGCACCCAAACCAACAACTTCAAGCGGCAAACGGACCGAAAAAATAGGACTGCATGCTGAATGGAACACTAAAGCATAATTCAGAAGATTAGAAATTTAGTTGCATACAAGCTACTTGCACTAGACTGAGACTTCAAAATCCAAGCTCCAAACCCAACTTCTGCCTGGGATTTTGCCCCAAATCTTCAAGGTGTCTAACTCTGATTCATAGTGAACCTCTTGATTCTAAAGCACAAACCAGTCATTCTAACTCAAATTGCATTCCATGATGTCTACTAAATTCCATCTAATCCTATTATACCACATACTGAACAAGTATAGCTTCTTGAAGGTGCATACTACCTGTAGTATTACTCGATGAAAGCAAAACACTTCTCCATGGTGCACTATATCAATGGTATGTGAGAATGCCTAATACATTTCGTGCAGTGAAACATTTCAAGGATGTTGGCAACAAGTAAGGTGACTAAAGCTCAAACCCCTGACAAGATCTTAAGCCCATGATTTTTTTCTTCACACCTAAACAAACCAATTTTACAAGCTATTATACTGCTAACCAAGTGCTCTCTGTCTCTCTGTCTATCTTGGGAAGGTGTGCAGTCTAATGCAATCAAGAAAAAGGACTAACCAATTTCTTCCACTACAGATTAGGCAATACTGTTAGAATTGGGTAGACTATAACCCATTGGTATTTGTTATTAGGTATTATGTAAGTAGCACAAAAATCATGGAAGGAGTTGTGCCTGTGTGGTGAACATGTTTGTATTGTGGACATTTACACTTTTTGTACACTCCTAGACATGTTTCATATACTAGTCTGGGCTGGGTAGATATTTTTCCCCTGCAAGTGCGAGTGGAGCAGAGCTCACACATGGAGAGGTTGATAGAACACCCAGAAACAGGATCAGCGATACACTAATGGCTCGATTACAAAAATGAATGATATAGAGAGAGTTGAAGAGAAGGGCCTCAACAATTTTTATCAAGCTCTCAACACCATATTTCACGTCTGACCTCGACTCACACATGGAGAACACAGACAACCAAGTGGATCAAGCACGAACATGAAATTGGCACATATTTATGCGCAAAGACAATGCGAGGTACTATGCATTGACACTGAAGGTTGACATCAGAATCTCAGGCACCCAAAACAATGATATAAACTTAAAGACATCCAACTCATCTAAAAGTTTCATCTATTGAAGAAAGTATAACTTCAGTGTTCATAGACGTCAAAAAACTAATTGCAGCAGATAAAGTACTTACAAGAGCTTTGCATTTTTCATCCAAAGGGCTCGGCGAAGGCGCTTAGACTGTTTCTTAAAGTGAAATGTACTATCTTGCATTGTTGCAGTTTTGTCAACAAGAAGCTCAATCCGATCACCTCTCTCCAATATCTTCTCAATGTTATCCACCATGATGGTGCGTATCTATATATCATATTCAAGGAGTTGAGAGCACATAACCAAAGATAAGAGGAAAAAAATACAGCACAAATCAGGTATAAAATGTATTGACGAAGATAAAAAGTAAATAATTCTGATCTCTCCATATTCCGGAGAGTAAACAGTAAACTGTATAGCAAAGATTTTATCTAAGATACAGGTCAACAGATTACAGATGATTAGAAGAACTAGCCAGAACATTAGTAAACATGACTAAAAGTACATTCAGACAACCATACTAGGCGAGAATACACATACATGACTATCATCCTAAATTTTAAAAAACCACGAAACTAACAAAAAATCTGTGCAAATAATGACGTGTGTTGTCTAAAGAAATTACAACAGCCATAACGACCATATAAATTAACTTATAGAATAAAGAACATGCTCAAAGAGAAAGCGCTCATCAATGATTGCTTTCAAAAACTCTTATTGAAAACTCAAATATCCAACAAGATAAATCCTAAATAATGGTCCGAGGATAGAAAACTGGGACAGACTCAACAACAAATAAATGAACTACACGTAGTGACTAATTAACATGTAAGTTCCTAACTCAAGAGACTGATTCTAACTGAGAAGTCAATGTTTATGCTTAAGTTGACTGATTGTGACAATCTTTAAACCAGTGTTATCAAAACCGGACCGGACTGGCTGTTCGACCATGAACCAGGACCTCAGTCGGTCAAGTTCTTAAATTGGACCGCTTAAGCAATTAAACCGGAGTAAAACCGTCATACCGGCCGATTTTTGACAAACACCATGAACCGGATGGTTTTGTCAAACTGGCTGGGTTCTACTCATGGTTCAAAGTCGCGGTATCGGTCATCGACTCGGAGGGTACTGAGACACATCGGTCGCGGTGTCGCAACGTCGTATCGGCCGATACGCTCAAAACGCTACATTGAAGACCCAAAAAAATATAAAAAAATCATGAAAAATTTTAAAAATATGTAAATATCATCATTCATGCATTATATCCCAAAAATACATTATTTAACATATTAAACATAATAAAAATAAATTATAAGGACGCTACCAAAAATATTTGCCATCATTTAGGTTGAATGTTTTTATTTAAAAACACACTAAATTTTAAACATGTTATTATAACTTTTTTAACTGACTAGTATCTAATTTTAAAAAAAAATAAAAATAAAAACAGCAAATATGTATCCATAAATTATAAATTTGACAAGTATGAGTAGATCTCAATATTTTACATGAATAATTTTGTGTTCAATTAATAAATTAATGAGTCATTGTTCTAATTTAATTTTATTTTTTCTCCTAATTATTTTTTTCAATAATTTACTAATTGAATTAGAGATTTTTGATACATAAGGGGTAAGGGTCAATAAAATATAAACACATGTCTAAGGACAAAAAGCAAACGAAGGGTGAGTGGCCCATAAAATATAAACACTGTGTGTGGTCTGTGTTGTCTTCTCCTTGTCTCTCGATCACGAGAGAGAGACAGACAGACACAGAGCGCTAGCGAAAAGCGAAGGAAAGATTCTGCTATGGGTCTCCACCGAAAGAAGCGAACAGTAAGGAACGATTGAAGATTTTTTGATCTGTAAACTTAGGATTTCTGCTATGGGTCTCCACCGAAAGAAGAAGAAAAAGAAAAAAATGCCTTCTGATCATGGTGATTCTTCGATTTTCTGGGTCTTTTTATACTTCATCTATTTTTTTTTTTTTGGAATTTCCTCAATATTTGTAGTCTATTATATGCGAATCAACCAAGTTGTGCTGAGTTGGAGTCGGCTCACTGTGAGTCTCACCCAATTTCTTCTTCCTTGCTTTGTTTTTTTTTTTTGGGTTTTGGTACCCAGATTTTCCAAATGCACCATAGCGGTCTGACTCAGTTCGACTCGACCGAGTCTAACCGATTTTAGTTCTAAGTTGGGCCGATACCACCGAGTTGTAACCGAGTCAGTACCGATTCAGTTGAATCTCGTTATATTAATGTACCGTGTATCGTTATCGGATCGGCAACTGCCGAGACGGATACGACTCGGCCGAATTGATTCGGACTCGGCCGATACTTTGAACCATGGTTCTACTATCATTTTTATAAAAAGCCCCAAAATCCCTAATTTTGTCCTAAATCCAATTGATCTCCTTCTTCTTCTCTACTCCATTTCTTCCTCTCTTTCTCCAGTCCATTCGATCGCTGTCTCCAGTCCATTCGATCTCAACACCCACTAAAATCTCGGTCTATCCTCTCTTGATTCTTCTTTCTTTGTCTATGTTTTGTCTGCATGTATGTTGTTGTTGGTTTGTTGCTGCGCAAACATACATCATCTTTGAGAAGTCACAATGAGGAGGCTGATCTGTTTCATCCTATCTTCACTATTACTGTGTTCCTATCTTTCATGTCCAGTAGTAATCGGTTTCATGAAGAGGTGGTTTCATGAGGAGGCTACTATGTGTGAATTGTTAATATTCTATTAGATTTTATTAATTGTCTAAGAAAAGAAGTGATTTGTGATTTTTTTTGTGTTCTTAATTTTCTTATTTGATCCATTATAGCATAAAAATATTTTTTTATGTACCTATTCAAAAATTTTAATATATTCATCATTATTAACAATATTTATTATTTTTTTTAGTATACAATTGGTCCAATCAGTTAACCCAATAATTGAATCAGTAAACTATTAATCCGGTCCTTTGCCGATTCAATGTCTGGCCCGATTTTGATAACTATGCTTTAAACTTATTTTCTCTTAATTCCTTTTTAATCTGGAAGCATTTGGAAATATCTATATGTTCTATCACAAATTCCTACTCTTACCTCTATACTAATGGGTGACACCTCAGACTCTAAATCTGGTCAATCATGGACAAAAGGAAAAAGAGTATTCTATACATGTTTGAAATTAATCGAATATGTAAATTGATTCCAATAGTTACTATATGTAGAAAGTGTCAAGGAACTATTCAGTTGTATAACAAGTATCAACATCCATACAAAAACGGCTCTCTAGTGGAAGGTAAGTGCCACTCAAAATTCAAATTTTCCACTACTATTCACTATCATAATCCCCTAAGAAAGGCATAAAATGTCATATTTTTTTTTCACTATTCCATTCTACTAAAGGAAGAGCTCACGTTTAATTCTGCTAACGGTTTTGGTATGTGAATGGGTATGGTGATACATATTTGTGATCATTTCTCACCTTTTGGGGTATTGTACTCTCATTTGGCCGGTTTCTGTGAGGTCTAGTTCTGAATATGCGTAATATATATAACCACCAACCTCAATCACATATATATACTGTTTCCTTATGCTTGACAGTTTTCAACTCCAACAATTGCTTTCCTTTGAATCAATGCCTCCTCTCCGTTACAAAATATCTCTCACCATCTACACAACTTTGTTATGTAATTTTGACCTTTCCACACTAATTCATAACCTAATCAACTTACTGTATAGAAACTGATGGTGAGTCCTGATAGATGATAAACACTTTAAATTAGTTGTGGGATCACAAAACTGTTTCAGGATACCAGTCAACATCCACCAACAGTTTTTCTCACATTTAGCATTTCCTACAACTAGGTACTTCCATTTGTTAGAGCATCCAACCAAAACCCAATTGGTAATGAGTGGAGTGATCCCTCAAGTACATAAACCAGCCTTGGTGGTCCTATATTCACTGTAAGATACAAGCTCTCTTAACACCCCCCCTCACGTAGAACCCGGGCTCGCAAGTCGGGTCAACAATCAAACAAACAACCATGCATACCAGAAAAATTCAAATGAGTAAGAGATTTGACCCAGGGACCACTCAATGCCTAGCTTTCATTCCATGTTAGAACATCTAACCCAAAACTAATTGTCAATGGGTGGAGTGGCCCCTTAAGTATATTTTTTAAGAACACACACTGGGGATATATGCATATTTTGAACATATTTTACCCAATATCTAAAGTAGTTGCAAAAGTCTAAGAAGCTCAATATGCCCAAGTCCAAGCACCACCTCCAAAAGGGCCTAACCTTTGGAGGAGTGGATAAGAGCTTCTCAACCAGCCTGAACCTCTTGTTGCGACCAATGTAGGATTTTAGTTCATCTTTTTTTTTTTTTTTTTTAGTGAACCCACGCAAGGGAATACATGCATATTTTGAACATACTTTGTCCAAATATCATACTACAGTCGCAAGAATCCAAGAAGACCAATAAGCCCAAATCGAAGCACCACCTCCAAAAGGCCTAACTTTTGGAGGTATGGATGAGAATTTATCAATCAACCTAAACCACTTGCCGCAATCGATGTGGGATTTTAGTTCATCTTTTTTTTTTTTTTTTTTTATGAATACAATATAAACCAACCTTGATGGTCCCAATCATTCGATGTGGGATACAAACTCTTTTAACACCATTAACCAGATCTTGAGCCAATATTGGAACCCATGGGCATTAACTGCACAGAGTGCACAATATATACATTGTTTCATTGTGCCCTTGGTATCAAGGGTTCAAGTCGTGGAAACCACTTCTCACAATGATAAGGCTACGTATACAGATTCAGATTGTACAGTGGCATGAGCCTTTTGCACTGGGCTGCCAAGTTACTGCACAGTAATATGTGGGGTTTCAAATTCACATGAAGGAACAGGCCATAGATACACTCGCTATGCATCCCATTACCCATATTATCTCCTCCCAACATTACACATAAAAACCTATTTTAACATGTAGTCGGTTGGGACAAGATATGTCACAGGTGTTACAACATAACAAGTGCACAGGCATCGTATGTGTGAGGTAGCTAGTTTTCATAGCAAACACCACTGTTGTTTGACTGAAGCATAAGAGGTAGGGCCTGAGCTAGAAAATTTCATAGATATATAATGCATGCATCCTCAAATGCTTACACACAGTTACAATACATAGAAAACAGAAAGAAATTAAAAGAAAGAAAACAAAGCAGAAGTTCCAGCCAACAGAAAACACTTGCCTCACCAACTTCG